ATCACACTTTTTGTGAAAATGAAAGTCACAGACCCGACACGGTGCACAAATACGAGACAACACAATCGCTCAAAAATTAATGAGCAACACAAGAGACACAAGATTTACGTAGAAAATCCCAAAACCACGGGACCACCACCAACAACAATTCCACTATAACAAATCTTGGGTACAAAGTTTCTTGCTACCACACGAGCCAAATATCCAAAAAATCATCAAAATACAAGAAACTCTAGGCCAAAGACATTCTCGAACAATCACAGGATAAACATGAATAATATCTTGTACTCAAAATATTCAACCACCACGAATAAGATGAAAGTGAATATAAATAGTACGAGAATATCCAAAAGATGCTTGGAACAAACAAGCTGACCTCTCAAAAGTATTTGATGAAAAATACCACCCCAGAACTTCGGCAAACTCACGGAAAAACCAACAAACATGCGACAAAGGATGAAACCCGTCAAACACGTTGTTGTCGAACTGCTGAAGGACACAAAGAGACAAACAAAAGAAATATTTGTTTTATTTCATTGCCTTACCTCACGTATGCCTTTCCTCTTTGCTGAATCAACATATGTGTGTGTATCAATGTTGGAGAAGAATGTTTCCCCTTTTATAGCTTCACTACTTGAACATGGGAATTATGAGGAGTAAATGTGACTTAATTTTCACCTCTTTATATGCATGACTCTTCTACTTCCCCAACTTCTTATATTCCTAATATTATTATATGCGGAATAATAATAATAATAATAATAATAATAATAATAATAATAATATAATAATAATAATAATAATAATAATAATTAGAGCTAAACAAAAATATAGTGGATACAAAAAAGGCTTGGTATAAACATGGGATATTTATCACATAGGAGGGAAGCGCAACCCAACAAACTCTCCTCACAACTATGTGGTAGATATCGTCATCCCAAAGATACAACAACACCACTGCTCCCCTGCATAAGTAATCCAATAGCCTAAAGTAGATTTCTTGGTATCAATGTTTCATTCCATATCTGAATCAGTGTACCCGGTAAGAATATGTTTCCTTGTATCAAAGCCCAAACTCAGACTTGAAGTACTCTGAAGATATCTCAAAACCCACTTCACAACATCACAATGTTCTCTCCCTGTATTTGAGAGAAATCTACTAACAACACCCATTGCATGAGAAATATCTGGTCTCACACATACCATGTCAAATATGCCCAATAAAAAACCTGGGCTCTGATACCACTTTGTTGGGAAAAATCTCAGATTTTTTTACAATGCAAATCACAGACCCGACACGGTGCACAAATACGAGACAACTCAATAGCTCAAAAATAAATGTCAACACAAGAAACACACGATTTACGTAGAAAACCCCAAAACCACGGGGAAAAATCATGGAACCACCACCAACAACAATTCCACTATAAAAAAATCTTGGGTACAAAGTTTCTGTCTACCACACGAGCCAAACATCCAAAAAATCATCAAAATACAACAACTCTAGGCCAAAGACATTCTCTAACCTTCACAGGCTAAACATAAATAATATCTCGTACTCAAAATATTCAACCACCACAAATAAGATAAAAGTGAATATATATATTACGATAATATCCAAAAGATGTCTAGAACAAACAAGCTGGCCTCTCAAAAGTATTTGATGAAAAATACGACCCAAGAACATCGGTAAACTCACGGCAAAACCAACAAACATGCGACAAAGTATGAAACCCGACGAACACGCTGTTGCTGAACTACCGAAGGGGACAAAGAGACAAGCAAAAGAAATATTTGTTTTATTTCATTGCCTTACCTCACGTCTGCCTTTCCTCTCTGCCGAATCAACATATGTGTGTGTATCAATGTTGGAGAAGTATGTTTCCCTTTTTATAGCTTCACTACTTGAACATGGGAATTATGAGGAGTAAATGTGACTTAATTTTCACCTCTTCATATGCATGACTCTTCTACTTTCCCAACTTCTTATATTCCTAATATTTTCATATACTGAGTAATATAATAATAATAATAATAATAATAATAATAATAATAATAATAATAATAATAATAATAATTAGGACTCCTTGTGCGCAGTAAGCAAAGGTCTAGCCTCTATGGTTCGGTTGAGTTACTATGATTTACATCCTCCCAAATGCTCTGTCGGGCCGGGGTGTGGGTGACCTTTGGGATTGGGGATTCAACCTTTGGGAAGAACAATAATAATTAGGGCTCAACAAAAATATAGTGGATACAAAAAATACTTGGTCCAAGCATGGGTTATTTATCACATAGGAGGGAAGCCCAACCCAACAAATTTTACATGCAGCATAAAGTTAGCGCAATATAATGTAGCCTAAAGAGCATTCCTTAGCTGAACAAGCTAAGAATACTCCTGCAACCATTCATTCTGTGGCTTCATTCCCATAACACCAAAGGTCCACCCATCTATACTGGGTTATAGTTTTTAGTGTTCAAAATGTTATAAATGGACGCTGTTTCAAAGAAAAGAAATGTATGAAAATATAAGGGCAAACATGTCAGCCAATCCATTCTTTTGTGAGATGGCAAATCAGTGGCAAAGGAACGTAACGTCCATCTGATGTGGTTCCAGATGGAAATAGGCTTTGGGCTATTAATAAGCCTAACATTCCTCTTCCACCTTTGGGATGGAAACGTGAATTAGGATTCAGAGCTGTCGTAAGTACTCGCTTTGTATAAGTGTATGTCTCTATCATTTTCATTTTGTTTTTACTAATTCCATCATTATATTTTTTTTTCTTCAAAAGTATAGTAGTTGGCCTGCCATGAAAAATTTCAACTAATACAAAGCTAGCTAGCTTCAACCGTGCAAGTTGGTGGCACGGTCCGTGCAGCAGTCGTGCAAAATTACATACAGCGTGAGTTTTAATACATCTGATTGGATCTGCAGTATATATCAAATCAAATAATAATAATAATAATAATAATAATAATAATAATAATAATAATAATAATAATGTGGTGTTGCAGGTTACAATTGTCAAAGAGTAGGATGCCATGCAAATGAGGAATTAATGAGGAAGAATAAATGCAAATGTCATACTTTAATGTAATTTAATGACGACATGTCTTTTCAATTGTATTCAGGTTTTAAATTTGACCTAGGAATTGAACTTGTTAAGTGTGTCATGTCGAATTTCTTTAATTGAAAATTCTCATATCAGATACCATGATTATTGTAATTTTAAGATAAATAAAAACATTATAGTATAAATTGATATATTAAAACATTAAAAAAAATCGCGTACAAAGAAATTTTTAGAATAGATTAACAATGACGAGTTCGTGAGAATCGTATTCAAACCTTTAAAATTTAGTGAAAAAATAAAAACATTTGTATTTTGTGAGAATTAGGGTTTGGGGAGGATAACAATTAATTTATTTTATTTTTGAAATACTCATAATTGGGTAGTCGTGATTCAACCTACGACCACCCATTTAGATTGGTAACAAATGTGTCGTTGCACTACATAGTAGTTGACAGATAAAAATTAGTATAGATAGATTGGTGTAATATCAATGTTCGAATTATTATTGTTTGTGTAAATAATAATTAATAAATCATTATTTTCTTATAAATTTACGTTATTATGTAAAATTTCTAAAGAATATTATTAATTAATAGATATAAGTTAATTTCCCTATAACATTTTGTTATCAATTACACTTTATTAATTCTTTTACTAATAAATGATTTATCCTTTAGATTCGATATTCTAGGTCAAACATCAATTTTATAGTTAATTTATCTATAATTATTTATAATTTTATATGTGCTCACGCAAACAATGCAAAAAATTAAAGAATTAAAAATTTCATCCTATTTATAACTTATTTTTATTTAATTATTAAATGATTTTTTTTAATTTGTGGTGTGATTGGCTAATTTATAAAGAGTGTGCGAATATATATATATATATATATATATATATATATATATATATATATATATATATATATATATATATATATATATATATATATATATATATATATATATATATATATATAAAATTGTTAATACATAAAAACATACGTATATATATTTTTTAAAATATGTGAAACAGAGCTAGGACAAATACAACGAAATAAAGTATGTGCCAAAATATTTGCAGACTGCGCTTAACATAGACACAGAAACACAATTTAAAGAATCAAATAACACAGCACAATCACTAAGAAGAAGACCAATGTAAGAGGAATTATTAACCACCTGCGTGAGACCCCTTTGAGCAGTAAGGCAATCAGTTTCAAGAACAGAGTGATATATATATATATATATATATATATATATATATATATATATATATATATATATATATATATATATATATATTGTGTTATTTAATATGAAATAGGTATTTTGCCTAATTAAGTTTGAAATAATTATTAATTATTATTTGTGTGTGTGGTTTATAAGCACAACTTCTAGTTGTGTTAGACATTTCCATTTCTAATTAAGAGGGGTGTGGGGTTCTTGAAGTTGGGGATTCAACCTTTTTGTAGAAGAAGACATCTTCATTTATTTTGGAAATATGAGGATAGCAAGTCTGAATATCATTCACATAGAACTGTACAAGTGATAATATAAGCATATATAGAAGGGTCCTAATACAACGTAACACAACTATAAGATTCCTAACACTCCCCCTCAAGCACAAGGTTGTTGTGCAACAACATTGAGCTAGCTAGTCTCATAGAAAGGCAAATCGTGAATCGGAGAGAGCCTTGGCAAAGATGTCAGTCAACTGGTGTTTTATAGAAATAAAGTGAACCTGGATTTCTTTCTTAGCCACCTTGTCCCTGACAAAGTGATAATCGATTTCAACATGCTTGGTCCTAGCTAGCATGAAAGACCGGATTGGCACACAAGTAAGTTTCTCCCAAGTTATCACACCAAAACTTGGGTGGAGATATAGGACACATCCCGAGTTCCCTTAAAAGAGAAACCAATCAAGTCACATCAGCAGTGCCTTGTACTCAGCTTCAGTCGAGGAACGAGCTACCGTGTGCCGGTTACGACACACCCAAGACACCAAATTTTGTCGCAAGAAAACCGCAAAATCACTCGTGGATTTTCGATCCTTCAAATAACCAGCCCAGTCCGAATCTGAAAGGGCAAGAATCTCAGCAGATGAAGACTTACAAACACACAGACCAAAGTGTAGAGTACCTTTCAGGTAGCGTAGAACACGCTTGAGCATGCTCCAGTGTAGAGTCGTCGCCGCATGCATGTATTGACACAACCTGTTAACCGCATAGGACATATCAGGCCGTGTCATAGTCAGATACTGAGGAGCCCCAGCTAGGCTGCGGTACTGCGTGGAATCAGCATAGGGAACCTTAGAACTCTCATAAACCTGAGACAAAGAGACGGGCGTAGGAAGAGACTTATAGTCAATCATACTCGCACGCTTCAAAATATCCTTCATATACCGCTGTTGAGACAAAAGCAATCCGTCCCGGACTGGAACCGTCTCGATGCTAAGAAAAAAGGATGAGGCACACATGTCTCAAATCTTGAACTCAGTTTCCATCTTTGCAACAAGATCAGACACACGAGCAGAATCAAACCCCATAATCAAGATATCATCTATAAAAACAAGTAGATACAATTGCACAGAGCCACATGAATAAATAAACAATGAACATCAGTCTTAGATGGCTTAAAATCAATCGAAACCAAAAAGGAGTGCAACCGATTATGTAACACCCCGTGTTACGGCCTTTAATCGCGGATTAATTATTTAATTAATTCCGTTAATAATAATTAAAAAGGATTTAATTTGGTTAGGATTCTCTTTAATTAATTAATGTGGTTGATGAGGACGTTTTTCACGCATCCATCAAGTATCAAATTACAGTATAGAGTTTAGATATCGTTCCACTGGAGATGGCTCTTGTAATGTTAGGAATTGATGTAAAGTGGAGTTAAGCACAAGCTAGAACTATCCTTTTAGAAGCTAGACCTATCGATAAGGAGTTGGTTTGATATGATTAGGCTAATAAAAATTAGACAAGTAAAACAAAGGACCGGGACTTGGTTGATTCAAGCTAAGATGCCAAATATTGTACTAAAGATAAGGGAATTAAACAAGGCATAGGGTAAGTGAGATGCACAAAAGTGTCCAAATACCACTCTCGTAGCTATTTGGACTTGCAACCTCACATTGAACTCCACTCTCATGACAATTCAACCCAAGGATGCCCAAACAAGAACACAAGGCAAAGATTCCCCTTAACACCCAAAATACTCTCGTATTGGGGAAGTGTGTGAATGTGTGGCTAGTGTACAAGCTCTACTATCGTAGCAACAAACACACTCCAAATCAAGCATATAATTGGGATTCAACAATCATACACAATTTCTTAACAAACCCATTTCACACAACAACCCTAGATCACCCAAATAATCCTCTTTATGTAATACAACTCAAATAGGCATCAATAGCAAGAAATCAAACCAAATCCTAGTCCCAAAACACTTAGCTACTCATAATATAACAATAGATACACAATATTAAAAGAGAAATTGAAAGCATAGATGAAAAGTAAAGAGAAGAGATGTATAAGAAAACTTCTCTATTGAAGCTTTGAAAGCCAAGATTTACAATGTTCTTGAGCTTGGAAATGGAAAGGAATCACAAATCTACACTAATCTAAGCTATTCTAAACTAACCCTAACTAGAGAAATGAAAGGGAAATGAAAGATGTAATGAAAGATATGTTTTTGGGGTGAAAAAATCCCCTTAAAAGGGTAAAAAACGGGCTGCAAAAAGTTGTAGAGGGCTGGCCACGGGCGTGGCTTCACCCGTGGCCAGAAATGAGGGCACAGTGCCCAGTGGCCACGGGTGTGGCCACGGCCGTGGCCAGACCCGTGGCCACAGGCAGTGTGCACTGCCTGTGCACTAAGGTCGTCTTCTAGGCCAGATTTCACCCTCAAAACCTTTGAATTAGCATTTGTGGTCTTCATCGAAGTTGTAGCTCTTCAAGTTAGCTTTCCAATGACATAAAAAAACACTTAATTTGGACACTCCTACGCAGAGATATGGCCAAAATACGGAGACTGCGCCAATCTGGGCGAGAAATGCCACCTTACTATCTTTTGCTTTGCCTTTGCATTGAATTGCCTATATCATCAAGACCACTAAGGCACAAATATTTGGCACATGAAAGAGTGTTGTTCAATCTTCTTTTCTTTATTTTGCCTCACAAAAATATCCTCATGCTATGATGACTTGAAATCTTGATCAAATAACTCAATGTTTGGCTCAAAACATCATTTTCTTGTCAAGTCACCTAAGCAAAAACAATCATTCCATAAGTTACCAAACTGGCTCCATAATATAATGATTAACCAGTAAAAATACCAAAATGTGCAAGGAAAAAGCATTAGTTTTAGACATTCATCAGTGGTCCACCATGGATTGTGAACCCTTGCCTAAACTAGAGTCTTAAGCCTATTAGGAATAAAGGGAGTAGACCTTTTACTAGTCAGATTCTAATTTGGAATCCTAGACCTATATACCTATTAGGAATAGAAAGTAGGTCTTTACTATTCAGACTCTGATTATGATTCCTAACTCTATAAATAGGGGATTAGAAAGCAATTAGAACCCTTATCACCCATAGTTATATTACACGAAATTATTCCCAAGAGATTCCCCACCACCAAGCCTAGGGAGATCAATCGGATGGAAATCTTAGAGAAGAACTTAATAGCCAATGGATGATTAATTAAGGCTAAGAGGTAACCCATGTCTTACAAAACCTATTCTCCTTGCTATATCTTATTTATTGGCTCCTTTGATAATCGTATGTGTAATTCTGTGATTGAGTCCTGATAGAGCCCTTGCATAGGATTTATATTGTGCTTATTTGATAATCTTGATATTCTTGATATTGTGATTGATTGTATGTATGATCTTGTATTTTAATTATGCCTAGAGCCCTAGGGTTTATATCGTGAATTTCATATTATGGTGTTCTTGGTATATTTGGGTGGGTTTATGCATGATCGGGTGTTGAGTCTAGCCTAGGACTTGTATTTAGGACTTTGCATATAGATTTGATGATGTTCTTGAGGTTTCGAATGCTCCTGAACCGTTATATGATTAATGTTGAGTCTTGGCATGTTTAGGAATCGTGTTTGGTATGATTCTTGATTTAATCCTGTTAATTGAATCCGTGGTGTTGTCGTTATGTGTTTGAATGTGTCTGGACATGGTTTTGGGTTCCACGAGAGATCCCGGGACCGAAAAGTTTCCTGGGTATCAGTGGGGGGTAGGTGGGGGCACAGGTACCCGCCACCTACCCGCTGCCCGTGAACACTGTTACAGCGGGCAGCTGGCGGGCGGTGGTCTGCCCGCCGGCCACCTGCTGGAATAGTGACTGGCCGCCGGCGGGCGGGTGGTCCTCCACCCACCACCCACCCGTTGGAAATTGTTGGTAGGTCGTGATGTTTTCCCCCCGTTTGTTGTTTTCCCGTGTCCCATTGTACCCCGTTTGTCGTGTATGAGTCTCATTTGATGTTTTGAATACCGTTCTAGGAATTTATGTGTAGTACATGTCGTTGTTGTTATGTCTTGATTAGTATTGATTGGTTATGTGTTGATTGAATGATGATGAGTATCGTGGTCATTGCGTAATGACCGGTGTGACAGATGATGATGATGATGAAATTGTGATTGGTGGAAATGAATTATTGGCGAATGACACAATGAGTGCCCGGTCATTGTACTAAAGGTACAGGCCTAGCGGTTATTGTGCTGAAGGCACAAACCCACCTTTGACTTGCTTACCGTTGAGCATGGGTCAGTTTATAAGTGCTGCGGTGCCATGTCGGGGCTATATGCGCTGACCCTTTGGTATTGGTACTAGAGGTACGGATCATGCGAATGGCACTGCGGCGCTATCTTGATATGTTGGTGGTTGAAAGGTGGTTTGTCGGTGGGGGCATGTAGTTGCCCTGAGGAATAAAGGAGGCGATATAAGGGTGGCCTGGAGGTATAGGTTGGAACTGATATAAGGACGGATGGGAGCTAGAAGGTTGGAACTTGGTATAAGTTTGGAAGATGGATTGTGTGACTTGATGATTGCTTGTTAAATGATTGTCTTGAATTCCTTTGTTGTCTCTACTTCCTATTTGTATGCTTATCTGTCTATTATGTCTCGCATTGTGTTTCTAGGATGCATGCTAGCCTTTATGATTGTGCTATATTGTCGAGTCTATTATCGTGTCTTGAGTCTTGATCTCAAATTTAAATTAGAGTCTCGTAGGTTATATATGTATTCCGGTTTCAAAATGATTTTCTTATATCTAACTATATTGTACTTAACGCGTTGGAGTGGGTTACCAGCATTATTCGCTGACGGTTGTTACACCGTATGTTTTTCATGTGCAGATCAGTAGCTTCGGAGCGCGTTAGATGAACTCATGGATTTAGTTTAATATTAGTTATAGTTTATGCCTTGTTCAGTTAGTTTAGCCTGTGCATCTAGGTTCTCAAACCTAGATGTGGCATAACACCCCGACTCTTACGGTTTATTTATGCTCTGTTTGCGATGACCAACGATAGTTTGCGTTATTTATATAAGCTTTTAATTATTTTAAAAATTAGGGGTGTTACAGATTAAACCAGGCACGAGGAGCCTACTTGAGCCCATACAATGACCGCTATAATAGGCAGACATGATCAGGAGTAGCCTTATCTTCACTGCCCGACGGCTGACGCATATAAACAGTCTTAGCATGAGCACCGTTCAAAAATGCGTTGTGGACATTCAACTGCCTGATAGTCCACCTACAAGACACCGCCAAAGACTACAAGCAAACAGTAAACAGTTTAAAAACTGGACTAAAAGCCTCAAAAAAGTCTTGGCCAGCCACTTGATTAAACCCCTTGACAACTAGACGAGCCTTGTCACGTTCTATCATTCCATCCGCCTTATGCTTAGTACGAAAAACCCATTTACACCAACAACATTTATCCTATGTGTAAATGGTACCAACCGACAGGTCTGATTCTGTAATAATGGATTAAACTCGAGGTCCATGGCCTCGCGCTTCTCGGGATAAAAGACAGCTTACGAATAACACGTGGGCTCGGGAATACCAACCTGAGTAACCAATGTCGCCGACTGACCATCACCATGGGACTGACTCTGTAACTACATCGAGTGAATTCAAACCGCAGGTCGCTTCACACGCCGGCCACGCGTTTTGGGGGTGGAGCCGTCTGGGCAACATACGGAGCCTGATCCGTGACCTTGCGCAAAGACGACGGTTGCTGACCCGAGTCAGAAACAGCAACAGACAGCTCAACCGACTCAGTCACGGCAGTATTGCCCCCATACACACTATTACCTGGCATATTCACTCTAGCAACGCCTCATGGCTCCTCCATCACAGAATGAGCACCCTGTGCAGAAACACCAGAACTCCAGAAGCAAACGGATAAACGGACTCGTCGAATCGCACATGGCGATAGAAGAATACCTTGTTAGTATT